ACCGGTAATCTGGAGGCGACAGATGCCATATCATGCTCCTGTCCCTGGCATCACCCTGCCACCTAGATTGCGACCCTTATCTTCTTGTCGTCATTGTCTCTATTACAGCTGCCAATCAAATTATTAAAGCAGTACATTAGCCAGCACAAAGCAAGCTTTCCCTCCCATAAGGACAACAATGCATTTCTCTTGTTCTAAGCTGTTCACATGCTGACAGAGAAACATTTTCTGCTTTGAGAGGTTGCACGCAGAGCGCACAATTAGTATCAGAGCGGCTGAAGAACGCTCAGGCAAAGGTCACCAGGAGACAACCCTCCATGGACTTCAGCCAGCTGGCACCTTTACTGGCCTGACAGAAGATGAACATCACCCGAGTTCCTGGGAGCTTGGAAATCAGGTAGGATGAAGTAAACAATTCTGTCTGCAGAGGCATCTTGGCCACAAACTCTGGTGCAGGGACTGCTTTTGTTGTTTAAAGAAGAACAGCCCATGAATTTTTGATGTTGCTTTCCTTAATTGATTCATTTTCCCTAGAACGAGGTAAGAACATTAATTATGGTACTGTGTAATGACTAAAGGGGGAAAGAAACTTCCTCCTTACAGCTAATGGCTACAATTATAAATGCCATCTTCTGGGTAACATAAAGAAAGGGTCCATGTAGCTGCTGCAATTTGCTGAATCTTTTGTTCCTTGCCCTTGAAGGGGAACTTCTCTATTATGTGCTCAAGATTTGAATCAGGTCACTTAAAGTAGTTCAGGACAGTGCTTTTGAGACTAAATGCAATATTAAATCTCTCTATTCTCCTAGGCACAGAGATGAACAGGAACAAGGGAGAGCCTTTCAGGCTGCCGGATGACAGTAAGGAACCAGGAATGTATGTGTCAATGTGCAAGCCGTTACAAAACAAAGCGATACTGTTATGTTAAAAAGCATGCGGCAGACTTAGCACATGAGAAAACATCAAAGGGAAGAATAAAAGGACTCATGTTCAGATCTGCAAGCCTGGATCAAATGCTGAGCCCTAAGGGTTGAATTTTAATCCAAACTCAGGTATTTCAGAGGTCATCATTCTTACTTAAATCTTGATTGCATAATGCACCTTCCCCAAAAAAGAAAAAAAAATAAACCCTTTGAAGCACTGACAGCTTTCCTTTATAAATTTTGCTAAAGGCTAATTAATGTGTCACATATTTTACTTGACCAAAGTGCTAGGAAGGGGTGGCTATGAAGTAGATGAGTTGGAAGAGTGAATCACGCAGCTTCCGACTCTCTCTATAAAATGCTAATACTAAGGATGCTGATTCTTGCTGCTGTAGTCTCACTCAAAACAAAGTCATCTTTAACAGGAAAGAAAACTCCTGTATTTTCATGATACCTAAATAAAACCTGTCTTATCCCAGTGACACCTTGTAATTAACCCCCTAAGCCCATTTTCTTCAGCAAAGTGGGCTGCAGGGCAAGGAGTTCAGAGGGTGAAGTCGGAAGAACATCAAATTTTGAGGCTTTGGTAACAAAATTTGAGCATGTAGAAGAATATGCCTCTCTGAGCAGGTCATGCACAGACAGCATTTATTAGAACCTGCACATTGCAAAGTGTTGACATTTTTTCCAGAAGTTCCAGCTGCATCTTTTTATACTCTTCATGACTTCTTCTGTCACCTCAGAATTCAGCATGTCTTAATGTTTCACAATACAGCATTTTTAGCACTTCAGTACTACAAATGCTGCTCCAAGCCTACATTAAGCTGCGACCATTTTGTGCCCTCCCAAGGTGCTCACCCAAGGTACCAGTGCAGAGACAGTTGTGTGTCCGAGGCTGCGGTTTGGTCTGGTGACTATCGAGTATCTGTTGCACAAGCTGTTCCACTGAGAACCCTGAACTGCTGTTTCCATTGCTGCATGTCCACTTAATGCCATGAACTGCAAAGAGAAGAGTAAAACTTCCCATCAGAGACTTCAAAAACACACCAGAAACCATCAAAAGCCACTCTAAAAGACGACCAAAAACCCGTTCCTGCTGCTTTTTGTCAAAACTGGAAGGGACCTATAAAAAGGAACAGTAATGGTTATCGTTTCACTATTCTTTACTCTCTGGTATCCATAGGCTTCCAAATGCAATTCATGGATTAGCTACATACAAAGGGAAAAAACCTCAGTAGAATACCTTTCTCTATTTCAGTTTGCCATTAATGGTGGCGCTCTAAGCCGAAAAATCGTAAGGGGTAAATGAATAGGCACATAACCTTCATTAAAAACCTGAAAGCAACAAAATACTTCTGTTTCGTTGAAGTAAAAGAATACAATTCCAAGGAGCATTTTGGAATCTTTTTCTGTCTAATATGAAAACAAAATTAGTTAGTTTTATAATAAAGTCAGCAGCCAAAAATACGCCAGTCTAATAGCAAATACAAATCTCTTGCCAGGTCTTCATTCTCAGATCCTGGTTGGCAGCAGTGAAGACTGACTCATTTTTTGGAGTCACTAACAGACACTGTGTGAGTTCCTCCTCAGATTTGGATAACTTTTTAGTAATTTGGGAAAGTGGACAGGAGGATGATGTTGCAGAACACGTTCCTTTTCTTGGGGACTCTCTTGGCCTGTGAGTTATTGAAATAAGAATGCTAAACCTCATGCACATACATTATTTGAATAAAGGCTCCCTCTCAGAACTTTTTAAAGGCAGAATTTCACATAACAGCGATATACTTAACCTGCCTTATAATGGAAATAGCATTTGTAAGATATTTTCTCCATAATAACTGACTCAAATCTTCTGTCTCCTTTAACATCTCTCTAAGCAATTTATGTGTGCATATTATTCATTTATCCTTTCCGTGCACTAGAGCTCCCTTGCAGATTTTGGAAAGTGCTGGTTGATGGCAACATCATTTCCAAAATGTCCCCATGCCCGGCAGCTCAGGCCTGAAGAGCTGCTTTGTTTGCCATACTCTAGCAAAGCAGGTTCCTTGCACATCATATTCTAAAATCCGTAACCAGAATATACCTAAATCAAAGTTAAAAGTCCCACGGACTCCAGCTTTGTAGGAATAAGCTCTAAATACACAGATCCCTGCGTGGTGAAGGTCCTCAATGTGAGGCCATGAAATGCTGGCAACAGCGTGTCAGGCTGATAATCACTACACAGCCAGAAGTACCTGCAGACTCTTGAGCAACAAGCTATAAGCTGCTTTGTGTAAGAAGCTCAGAAGCAAATAAGGACACGTTTATGACAGCTAATGACTGTTGTCAAAAAGACAGGATATCGTGTGACTCTCCTGTTCTCCTCTTTGCTGCTGCTTATTGAGTATGTCCTAAGCAGCCAGTGGATCATGCTCCGTGAAGCAGTTTTGTTGCTTTTTTTATCATCTGTTGCTGTGTTGCCTCATCACCCACTGACATTACTTTGCCTAACAGCATCTCATCTTGGTCTAGTGTTATATTACAGAACTTGTATTTTTATTGGCTGGGCAAGATAACTTGCAGGAATATTGTAAATAAGGTTTACAAGTATTCTTCCTCACATCGCTATTTAAAGTGCTGCAGTTAGTTTAGTAACAAGGCCCTCTATGCTTGCTTGACAACCATGTTTATTGTTATCACACCCAACAGATTTTCCTTTCTAGTACCTTCACAATTTTGAATTTCCTCTTAACACTCAGTATCTGTTATTATGTCTAAGTTTAAGTTTATAGATGCTTGCCCCTTCAGTACCTCCACTCACATTCATTTTATTATTCTAGGTACATTATTCTGTCACATGGAACGTTATGCCTAAGCGATGTTCAAATAGCAGTTCTGCAAAAAATACACTGACAGCAAGATTAAAATGCAGTAATGCATTCTGAATACTTTTGGTTATACTATACAAAGTTACTGAAGTGTAATTATTATTGAGAAACTTCGCATTAAGTTATTTCTGGTTAATTCAGAAATGCCTTGCTAAAAGGAGCAAGCTCACATACGTGTTTCTAGGTATAGAAAGTCCTCTTCACAGCAGTATGTCAGAGTTCTCTCCCTCCTGCTGCTAAACCCCCTGGTGAGCAGCGTATTACAGGAGGCAAGTCTGGTAAGTGAATCCCCGTCTCATGGTTTGTGTATTCGTGATGATGGTTCTTAAGGCTGAATCAAGCTGTCAGGTGGAAGCCAAGAAATACCAAACAGCTTTATAGCTGGACACATATAGCACCATGCCTATTATTTTCAGGTCCTTAGTATAAGAAAGTCCCATCATGGATCTATTGCTGCTGAGGAAAGGTCCTTCTCCTGCCTTGCTCCAGCTGATCCTAAAGGGCTCTGGCTCCAACTTCTGTCCATGTGATGCTACTTTTTTTAGTACTTATACTCCCCATATGTTATGAAGGTCATAAAATAAATAGCCAGTGAAGGGCGACAGATAGCAGAAAAAGAATGTCTGGATGCTTAATGCAAATTATCCACTATCTTGGCACATCCAACATACAGATTTTCTCCCTTCCCCTTTTAAAGAAAAACTCTTGTGAGCTGGCAATTTGATAGCACTGAATACCAAATACTATCAAGATGGCTTTTAACATGTCACGCTTGGCTTCCTGACACATAATGAATCAGCAGG